CCCCCCTTACCTCCCAACAATGAGCAAGTACGGCCCCGCCCCCATCTTGAGAAGAATCAACTATCCCCAAATACGACCCCCCTCCCCTCTCCTGTTGAGGATTCCCTAACAACGACGTGCCCTGGCGGTGTATTCTCGGTCGAATTGGAAACTTTTCGCAAATTAAGCTATTTTATATGAAACTACAATAGTGTAACAAAATGACTTTGTCTAATAGTGAGCAACAGCAGAGAACCTATTTGCTTGCTCAGAGGTTTTTGTACTACACTAGAAAGAAATCCCACAAATGCAGACTGCTATGTCTCTGGGATTTTACTATCATACGAGTTTGTGGCCACTCCTCTAAAAAATTTATCACCACTCCTACTTCACACTTAGTTTCGATTCCTGTTCATAGCGAGTGAAAGAGGAGTGTTCAAAGGGTTGCAAGTTCCCTGACGAGGGCTGGATGATTGGGGGATACTCTCTTCTGCAGCTGAAACTAACGTGCAAAACTCGCGACGGGCGAAATTGACCCATAAGGATAGAGGTCCCTCTCAGTGTAGCTACCATGCAAGCCTTAAAGGCAGCACCCACACTTATTTGATGTTCCCGCGCCCTCTCTGGATATCATAGCCCTCCCTATGAGGATGCAGTATGTACTAGTTTTGCATCTCAAAAGGCGAGAGGATAGCGCCGTTCGCTAGTGAAGAGTCGGCCGCCCCGCCCACCTGGCCAGCATAGGGTTCTATATAGGGCATTTTCCATGATTTTTTTCTGCTTTTTTTCTTCACTACTGGATCACGTATTCTATACCATCCTCTCGTATTTTTAAGCTGCGAAAGCATACATCCCCCACCTTTATCGACACGATATCAGAGGAGGGCGTAGGAACATCAAATCAAGGCGGGCGCCGCCTTTTAAAATCATCAGATCCATATTCCATAAGGGGTTATGAGCATGACTGTCCACTTTCATCTCGATGTTGTTAGCCATGATAATCTTGTATTCAGTTCTTGCTCTTTTAAGCAACGGTATTTTTTCTTGGGGCATCCACGTCTGCAAATGTGTACTCCTTAACCGCGGGGGTGGGCGTGGCATTCGGACATACTGGTTACTCGTGGAATATTTCAATTGGGACAGCCGCTATCTTGTTCTTTGTTGGGCAGGGGTCAATGAAAATATCGCTCCAAAAGCATAGCCACCACGACGTTTAGTTTAAATACGCAGCCACGCCTACCTCATCTCAGGGATTTCGAGTGTACCTACAGTGGATGCCGTGCCTTTTTCAAGACATGTGGTACAGGCGCCTTCTGGAGGTCAACGTCATGCTACTACTTCATCATTTCCTGATCTTTACTCCGTAAATCGAACAGTCTGCATTCCCTTCAACAAATATTGCAAATGTTGTGCTGAGTCACCTTGTATAAGGGCGAGAATGCTCGGAATCAGTGAGGAAAAGCCCATTCCGACGAAGTAGGCGTTCAGATATGCCGGATGAAATTTTGCCATGAATGGCATAAATAAGACGTTGGACATGGCATCAACGACAGCCAAACCAAACAGTAACAAGTACAGTGCAAGAGAATAGCGTTTAGAGCCGATAGCGACCGTTTCCTTCCAGAGAAATACCAAACCTGAAAGTACTCTTTAATTGCTTGGTTTTCAAATCAACGCACACTATTGGTTGGACATTTTAGTCGAGTCCGTACGACCCCCCCCCTTCCGGCCCTCTGTCCCTCCTCATCGATTACCAAATCAAGCCGTCGAGCGCGGGGGTTGGGTATATCAAGTACGCATGAAACAGGAAAATCGAAAAGTCAACCACGACTCCAACCACTCCTAGAAGACCAAAAAATAAATACGACTCCTCGCCGAACAATGAGCAAGTACACCCCCTCTACAACGTCCGTGAAGCGTGAAAAATCAACCATCGGAATAAATTTTCCTCAGCCCAAACACGACCCCCCCCCCACTCTCCTGGCGGCCAGACACGACCTGCCCCCTGTTGGGATTCCCCAACAACGGTCTGCTCTGTTTCAAATGGTGCAAATCTTCAGCTACCGATATAGAAAAACTGGCATCGGTGAAGTACAACAGCGCCTCCTGTTCAGGGGTACGTGGCAAGAATACCGCTAAAAGAAGCGCTGCAGAGAAGTTTTTCCGCTATGTCTCCCGACTTGAGTATTGAAAGCTTTGAAACGAACGGGACTAATCGATATTGCCTGCCGCCTGGAGTCTTCTTGGAGTTTCCACATGAGTTCATATGATTCACTGCTCTAAACGACAATTCGATCCAAACTGAGAATCTGCCGATGGCGGGACAATGCGTCGCGCGCGACCACGCGAAGAATCACGATTGTCTTGCCCGTCTTCCCCCGTTCAGAGATGACGTGTCACTGACAAGACACGCCCCCAACGTGATATGTGACGTCAGCGACACGTCACCTACCTAGCAAAGAGTAACATATCCTATCACCTGGCATTATTCGATAAGCGCTAGAAGAGTACTGCTTGGATTTTCCTAATGAATTGCCTTTATCAGTTAGTTCATCATCACAGCAGATGACTGGGCGCAGTTCGTGTGGGGACAGCTAATGGCACCTGGCCAAACATGTATGTGCAAACCACCCAGTGAAGACAAGTAAGTTCCTTTGACCAAAGTGGCTCACTCAGACAATTTTGTGGATTCACAGGAGACCTGCCAGTTACGTGAACCAACAGGGCATTTAACAAAAGTGCAATATGCCCTTCAAAGCCGAGCAGCGCCGATGGTAGTTTGCCACATTTTAATTGTTTGCCTTTGATTTAGTCTCTACTAAACGCACAAATAAATAAATATCAACGCACAAAAACAGTGGAAAGATTCCGCGTACCTAACTGGCAGACGCATGCCAGCATAAGGAACAAGAGAATAAGACGAGTGTGCGGTATCTCCACGGTTTTACAACCCTTGTGTACAATCGTATATAGCAGTGGACCTATGCAGGCAATCTGAAAAAAATATCATTTTTTCATTCATTGGAGCTCTTCAAATGCTACAAAATACCGGGACATGGACAGAACGGGTTGCCCACCCCGAAACTTCCACCATTGGTACTACCCCACCCTTCCCAGCCTATCCACTACCTTCCTCCCTTCCTCAACTCTAACATCTTCTGGCTATTTCCCAGTTTTTTCTTCCAGATATCCCCAGTTCTTCCAAAGAACTGCCGTCAAGGTGGGAGAGGGAGGGCAGGGTATGTTCACATGAAACGAGAAAGACAAGAAGGTCAACAGATCGTGTGATCCCATTCCGACAGCGGCCAAACACGACCACCTTGCTGAGGATGGCCAACGTGTGACGTGCCCTGATTCCGATTGCTTACTCGGACCACGCAATCGTCTGAAGGGCCCAGCCGACACAATACAGAAGGGACCATCCAGACCACTCGTGGAAATTTCTCAAGGATAAAATCGGTTGGGTTTTACGGATACAGCATGGAAGCGCATTACTTATTCTGAATATCTGATGATAACACATGGCGTGGGCAGCCTGACCTACCTGTACAACAACTGAGAGGTAACTGGGCAAATTCCAGCCCTCTGGCAATTCTGAGGTGAACATGGATAGCTGCATCCATACTGAATTCGTTCCTATCCATGTGCAAGAACCAAATGCTACAACTAAGGCATATAGGATTTTGGAAATTACCATGTGCCTGAAAAATACAGGGAAATAAGGCTTTCTGTGCGGAATGAGATAATGAATAATAATAAAATGAGATAGTAAGACAATAGAAAACGTGAATCGCCTCTAATCAGCTGCAACTTTCAACTGCCAGGAATAGCAGTTGTCAGGCAGTTTTGGCACCATGCTAGGGGAAGGGTGAAATCTGTTTACATGTTAGGATGAAAAGAAAGTCCTGCGACCCTTTGATTAAACTGTTCAAAATATCGAGAAATATTTGGAATACTCCCACCCCTGATTAGTGGAGACTGTTATCTGAGCTTTTGCAGATGAGTATGAATATTATGGCTTTGTGGAAGCTCAGAGTCCTCCAGAGGTCGAGCTGCTTTTCGACCTAACTCATATTATGAGCTCCTATAGGGCCACTCCGCCGTATATGAGGGAGCTACATAGCACCTGCGTTGTCCTCAGGAGGGGTATCGCTTGCTATGGCACAGTGTGTTGCATAAGCTCTTGCAAGCTGAAGCCATTCCATTCGGAATAAGGCGACACACTGGTCAGCCACCAGCACAGAATAACGGCCGTTAAATTCAACCCTGGAGGCGTAGCTGTGGTAACTATCACTAATTGTAAGTTAGCAACATCTCCAGCCTGTAACTAGGTGGTAACTGCTTCCGCGATCTCGTTGTAGGGAAGTTCCTGTGAAGATTGCCATGAGTTCCACCATTCTGAAAGGCCCCAAACTGTCGCGACCGGCTACTCTCTTCTTTGTACACAGTGCAATGACTTTTGTGAGCTCTGTGCTGGTAGCAGGAGCTGGAATCCTTGCGCATACCATGCACACATACCTCGCAGGAGCTCTCGAGGAGAAAGTGGCCTGCTAAGCCAGAAGCAGATGTGCATGGAATGAAGTTTCTTGTTGGTGGGGCTTTAAAGCGATGTCGCTGGGTACCGGCACAGCAATGGCGGTCACAGTCATCACTAATCAATATCAAAACATGGATGACGTCACGCTTGAATTCATTCAGAAATACTCAATTTTTCTCTACTACTCGGCAATGCGAAGACCGCATGTGGGGATCAGGCTACGCCAAAAGATCATGGATCTCGATCAGAGAATGCGACCGTACCCAGCTTATTTACCAAAGTTAGCAGCCTCTAACTACCACCTCCTCTGATCCCTACGCATCCTTCAAAAAGCAAAAGTTTCAAAAATCATCGCCTACCCGGCAGTGAGGCCACCTCTTTTTTTCGTCGTAGTTGTAGCAGTTCTACAAGAGTGGAATCGAGAAGCTGTGTGAAAGGGTTGGCACTAGTCCTAGTACGAATGGTTATTACCTTGTAGTTTGGAGGTGTCTTTTAGTGAGAAAAATTTGGCAGGAAGTTCTCGTCAATGTCGCAGGACTTTCTTTCTAATCTGATAGGTCAGACACCCCCCCCCCACCAGTGACCAACTATGAACACAATGATGGGATTCTTCCAAGAAGCTGCACCCTTTGTGTAGCTAGGAAATCTGTAACGCAGGAAACAGGGCCCGCTGGTCCTAGTGTGGTACTTCACTTCTGATTATCTACGCACAGGTACAGTTTACATCACCGCGACCTGTCAAGTCGCAATCAGCAGTTCCCACCTGCGGCCTTCCCACCAGTGGCTGATTCGGGTATGTGACAAGAGAATCGTGATTTGCCGCGTTGGTGGGAGACGCGCGATATCGCTGCCGCAAATGACGATGGTTCCAGCTACAGGATGGCGACAACGAGCAATTTAGAACCGAAAACAGTCACGAATGTATACGATGACGGGGTCTACATGAAGTCCGGTGCTTCAGTGGACAGCTTAACACGAGCTAAAACTGTCGCTACGCTAGAAAATCATGGATCTCTAGCGTAGTGACAGTTTCCTAGCTGCCCGCGGCGACGCGGTAAATCGAGATTCTCTTGCCCGCAGGGTACGCCATCGTTGTGATCATCACAAGGGGGGGGTCGTATTTGACCGCGAGGGAGGGGGGTCGTATTTGGTCAGAGAAAATTTTTTGATAGTTGATTTCTCTTGTTTCACGGACGCTGTAAAGGGGGGTCGTACAACTCCCAAAAAAAGGGGGGTCCTATTTCAGTATGGAATTAGGGGGGTTGTAATTTTTGATCACAACGGGATGGCGTGCCCGTGGCCCAGGCTCAGTGGACACAGTTTCTCCTCTGCGAGACTATACTTCGGCGACTCTGGTCGTCTGCGTTCTGAGCCTAACCCTTGATGGGGAAGGTCTAGAGAGGCGCTGCCGAGTGGTCTTCCCTCTCAGTGCAC